TCCCCCGCCTGGCTGCTCCGCGGATCCCTGGCGTCGGTGCGATACCCGCACCCTCGGCGTCCCCGGGCCCGGGGAGGCGCGCGCTCTCTGCTCGCTCGGTGTAAAACCCGCGTTCCGCGTCAGTGCACCCGCGGCCAGAAGGGCGTGGAGCGTCCCGCACCTCCAACCTGCCCGCAGTCCTGGGCGGGAACCCCGATTCGTCGGAACGTCTGTCGCTAGTTGGGGGTGGGGGTGCCCCTGGGCGTGGTCTCCGGCACACCGCGGCACGCGGTGAGGCCCCCCACTTGTACCCCAGCACTAAGATCCTTTCAGTGAGCGCATCGAGGTGCCACGACCCGAGTCTCAGGGTTGAACGTGGTGGTGGGGGGGAATGCAGCAGTCTGGGGGATAAAAAGCCCCAGGGTCACCGAACCTTGGGCAATTAGGCTTTCCTTCTGCCTGGCGTTAAGAGAGAAAAAGGCGGGGTCCTCTCCGCAGTACCGAAGGGGGGCTGCCAGATAAAACAGTTGCCATGACGGCCCGGAGTTTCGGTTTCCCTGGAAACCGGCTGTGGGTTCCGCGTGCCGGGAAGAAGGCTGTGGGGGATGGGGCGGGCGGCCACGCTCGGCTGCCGCGGAGTCGAGGAGCCGTTGGGGACTGGGAGGGACTTAGGGCTTCCTGCCTGCGCGGGGCGAGGGCGGGGTGAGCCTCGGGGTCTCCCTGCCGGGCCACTTGGTAAACTTTGGGGTGCTGGGCGGTGTCATGACCTCTGTGGGAGGGGGCGGCAAAGAAGGTCCCACCGGGCCTGGAGCTAGCGCCGGACGCCACCCCTCCCCCGGCCTCGACTGCGGGGTCACATCCCTGAGGTAACCGGAGCCTGACTTCCTTGGCGGCGGAGGCGCTGCTTCGCGACTGCTCCCAGCCGCGACTCCCTCCCCTCCTCCGCCCAATTCGCGCTCTTCCGTCCGCCCTCCTGGCGAGGGGGTGGGGCTGGCGCGCCGCCTAGCGGCTTCCCGGCAGCCAGGGGGGCGGGGCCGGGCTCTTGGATTGGCTGGGCCCGGAGGGGGGCGGGGCGCCCGAGCGCGCGGAGAGAGGGTGAGGCCTGCCGAGAGTGACGCAGCAAAGCCGGGTCCGCGTGGGTGCGCGCGTGCTCCGGGAGGGGCGGGGCCTCGCCTGCGGCCCGAATGGCCCGGGAGTGGGGGTGCCTCGGGTTTCTTAGGGTCCCCGGGAGGCTGTGAAAGGCCAGGTGGTTTATTCTAGGATGTTTTTGTAGAACTTGGGCTTGGGTATAATTTGCCTTCTATCATAAGGCCTCTTAGTAAGTCTCTGTTTGTATGCTATGACATTTTCTATGAAACTTTCCTATAGGATGATGTCAAATGTGAAAAAATAATAGTACTTTTGTCATAGGGATGGTAGAAGGATTAACTGAGATTGTTATGCAAGTAATTCTTAGTATTCTAAACATTAGCTTAATAGGAATTATTATTGAGAAATAGGAAAGATGGAATGGCGAATTCCTCTTTTTATATACACACTTAGGGAGGAGAGCCTTGTATAACATTCGGATTTGAATAATTCAGAAACAGACTCAGTGGAAGTAGCTGAGTGAAGCTCCTTAGGACCTGGGCCTGGACTGAGTAGAAAGCGGGTGGACACCAGGCTTTCCATAAGGAATACTTGTCCTGGTGTAGTAGAAGCAGAAGCAGTAGAAAACTTACAGGACTCTATAAATCCTTCGCTCATTCATTTATTCATTCAGGCACTAACCAGGCTCTGCGTCTGCTTCTGAGGATATAGTGGAGTGCAAAGAAAAAACTGTGGGCCTCTATCCTTTTAGGCTTGGCCTTGCGGCAGGTTATAAACAAGTAACCATACAAAAGACCATGCCTTGGAAGTGTAATAGGGACAAGGATGGCAGGATCTGTTCTGGGGAGGTAGGGAAGTCATTGCTGAGGAAAGAACATTTGAGTTGAGACCTGCAGGCGAAGTTGGGGTGAACTAGGCAAGGTAGAAAGCAGGGAGCCCAGCACAGGCCAAAGTTTCTCCAGCAGGAGGGAGCAGGATGCATTTTGGGAAGTAAAAGATAGTCGGGAGGGTTGCCCTGCAGCGATAGGAGCAGCAGGCACTAGACAAGAGTGGAAAATTGGTTTTGGAGAGACCATGGGGCCGTGTAGACTGAGGACTTTGGTTGTATGCTGAGAGCAGGAAGCTGTGGGAAGGGGGTAGCACACAGCCAGATTCTAGAATGGCTTGGAGATAGGAAAGGATTTGAAGAAAGTCACAGTAAAGTAGGTAGAGACAGGAAGAGAAGTAAGCAGGTACCTAACCAGGTATCAGGTAGTCACAGAAAGGACATGGGTTTAAAAGGAGGCATTGTGGACTAAAGTTAGACCCTGGGGAAACTGCAGGGGCCTCTAGGCCTGTGGAGAACTGGCCTAGGTGGGGAGAGATTTGGGCCCCTGACATTCTCTCTCCCTAACCCAGAAGTCTAGCCTCCTTGCAAGTGGGTAGAGTTCAGGATGGCCTCCTCCAGCCTCAAGTAGTCGTGTTCTAGTGAGGGCTGACTCACCATGAGCCTGTTGTTGATGTGGCCTCATCTGATGTCATGTCCCGCCCTGGCCTCTCAGGGGTAGAACCAGGTGAGAAGCCACATAGGTGTGTGCATGTGTGTAGGGGAAGGGGAGGTCTTTTCTATCTTTTTAGCAAAAATGTGGGGAGAAGCAGGTTAAACTCAAAGCTAGGATGACAGAGGGGGGCTTTGTATGGCCTGGGATTGGCGACAAGTGTCAAGCACCTAGGTTTCAGGCCAGTACAGAACCCGGCTGTATCTGGGTTGTGTGTCACAGGCATTAATGGTTTGAGGCATCTCTAGCCGGTGTGGTCAGAAATGCAAAGAGTTGGGGCTGCTGGAGGGAGTGTGGGGAAGTTGGGCCTAGTTGGTGGGTAGAGTTGAAGACATTTCCATGCCCATCCAGGAAAAGCTGCTACAATACAGCAAAACTGCCCCTAGGGCTTGGAAGAGGGGGCAACTCCAGTCTGGTGGGTTACTGTGATTCTCCCTGGATGGAGGTGGGAATTAACATGCTCGCCAGGAAGCAGGGGCAGCACCCGCACAGACCCTTCTCCTGGGGCTGAGTAAGCACGCTGTACATAGCTCTCCCTGCCACTGGTGGGGTCGAGGATATAAATGAACTATAAAACAGTCCTTGCCTTCACTCACAGTGTGTGATGAGGTGGAAGACAAAACATAACACATAAAATATTTCATTGGTCATATGAGCCAGTGTCTGATTAAGTGCGACCTGACAGTCTCCCAAAAATGCTCAGGTATGTGGTTGCAGACAGGTTCCAGAGAGGAAAGCTAAGACAAGCTGTTGAGGTTGGTGTGTGAAGAGCCCCATGGGCTCAGCACTTGGATGTGATTGGCACGCCTTGGAAGCTGGGAGCTCAGGAGCAGGTCAAGAAAGGAACTCAAGGGTCAGCAAGGACAGGAGTGTCTCCATTGTCTGGTGAACCCAGTGGTCAGGACATGCCTAGGTGGGGAGAAGCTGCCAACAGGGGTGAGACTTAGAACAGTCGATTAATAAAGTTTCAGGGTCAGGAGATCACAGGAAAGACTTCTGGTGTGGAAAGGAGCTCAAAAGTGGGACACAAGCTGGCCTTTTGGAGCTGCTAATAAGCTTGGAGAGCCTCATGCGAGGGGGGCAGTGCCACAGTGTGTAAGGCGAGACGTCAGCGCTGTGTGGGGTAGGGAGCGCTCTCCTGGTGTTCTCAGTGAAGAGGCAGCATCAGCATCATGGGGGGAGGGCTGGCCTGGAACCTTGGAGAAACCTCTCCAGGCATGCTCAGTCAGTCGGTGGGGGATGTTGGGACCCCAAGAGCCATTTCTCATTGATCAGTGCAGCTCAGGAATAAATGTCGGAGAGGGGAGGCACATTCCCGGGCTGGGGGATTGTTCAGCAGCCTAGGGAGTCTGGAGGGCTGTGGGGAGAGTGGTAGGAAGGAGAGGTGGGGAGAGGTATGTAAACAGCATTGTCGCAGCAGCGCAGGTGGCACCGTGGGGAATAGCCCAGGAGGTGGGAGAGGAGGTGTGGAGCCAGCAGCTGCTGGGGGAGACATAAGCAGGTTATGGATGTGAAATGGGGAGGGCTGGTGTCACAAAGTTTAGTGGGTCATCCTCCAAGGACATTGAAGTTACCAAGGAAACAAGTGAATGGTGAAGTAGCAAGAAGTGCAGGATTGTTTGGACTTCTCTGGGGAGTGGGTTCCCAGGAGGGTAGCTTGTGGCATCTGTGACTGAGCAGAACACTGGTGGAGGCTCCACTGGGTGGGACTGGGAAGTGGGGAGGCTGCGAGGAGGAGACAAGAGGCTGGGAATCCCCTCAGGACAGAATTGATATGATCAGTGGGGAAGGGCCCCTGTACTTGGGTCAGGGCTGACCGGGATCTGTGCTGTCTTTCCTGGGACGCTGGGCCTCACTGGCCAGAGCCGTGGACCAGGAGGGAGGTGTGGTCAGGCTGGGCCTCCTGGTTGCTGCAGACTTGACCTGTTGGCTGGCTGATGTGGATAGAAGTTTTGAGATACCGTGGGCCCCGTGGCTGCTGCTCACATGTCCTGCTGTCCCTTGCCCTGTCCCTCAGTCCTTGAAGAGGAAGGAGAAGGAGTACGAGCATGAGATGGAGCGGCTGGCTCGGGAGAAGATTGCCACGCAGCAGCGGCTAGCGGAGCTGAAGCATGAGCTGAGCCAGTGGATGGACATGCTGGAGATTGACCGAGTGCTCCGGCAGACAGGCCAGCCCGAGGACGACCAGGCCTCCACCTCGACAGCCTCTGGTGAGCCCTGGCCCCCCCATCCTCAACATGCTGCCCCTGTACCTCAAATTCCAGCCTCCCGCCAGGCTCTTGCCTGCTAGTAAAGACACCCTCCACCCAGCCCCATCATATCCCCAACCTATGAGCACTGCGGCTCCAACCATTTGTTTCCCAAGCACTTCTGATCTGCTCCCTGCCCCATGTTCCCCCACAGAGGGTGAAGACAACATAGATGAGGACATGGAGGAGGACCGGGCGGACCTGTGCCCACCTAAGCTGAGCCATCGTCCCCAGCCGGAGCTGCTGAAGTCCACCCTGCCACCCCCCAACACTGTCCCTGCACCTTTACCTCCCCACTCACACCCCCACCCCCACCCAGTGGCCCTGTCTCCTGCCCACCTCCCTGTGCAGCAGCAGCAGCCACCACAGAAGACTCCTCTGCCGGCCCCTCCTCCCCCACCGGCAGCCCCTGCCCAGACGCTGGTGCCAGCTCCGGCCCATCTTGTGGCCACGGCGGGGGGCAGCTCCACGGTCATCGCCCACACGGCCACCACCCATGCCTCAGTCATCCAGACTGTGAACCACGTTCTACAGGGGCCGGGTGGCAAGCACATTGCCCACATCGCCCCTTCGGCCCCCAGCCCTGCTGTGCAGCTGGCACCTGCCACACCCCCCATTGGCCACATCACAGTGCACCCTGCCACCCTCAACCATGTGGCCCACCTTGGCTCCCAGCTGCCCTTGTACCCGCAGCCTGTGGCGGTAAGCCAGCCCGTGGCAGTTAGCCACATCGCCCACACCCTCTCTCACCAGCAAGTGAATGGCACAGCTGGGCTGGGGCCTCCAGCCACTGTCATGGCAAAGCCAGCCATGGGGGCTCAGGTGGTGCACCACCCCCAGCTGGTGGGCCAGACAGTGCTCAATCCTGTGACAATGGTCACCATGCCCTCCTTCCCGGTCAGCACGCTCAAGCTGGCTTGAGGACGAGGTCACTCAGGCCCCCAATGGGGGCAGGGCAGGGGACCTGTCCCCCACTCTCCTACCCACCAGCTCCACACATTCCAGCCAGGCCCAGGCCTGCCCCACCCGCACCCACCCCCAGGCCTCCTAGGGGAAGGGGGTGCAGAGACTCTGAGCCAGGGGTGGGAGGGACTGCCCCAGGCAGTTGGGCACAGGGCAGGGGGTTATCCTGCTGCCTTGGGACTTAGAATGACTGATGAGAGACAGTCTGGTGAACAAGCCACCTGTCCAGCCCGGTGCCGGCCTCAATGCCATTCCTGCCACCCTACCCTGTTCCCTGAAATCAGTGTGATGTGGACGTCTTGTTCTCTGACTTCTCCCCTGCCCTGCCCATCTTCCTGTGCTGCTGCTGCTATTGCTGTTCGGTGAGGTGGCTGAGTGCCCAGGCCTCCTCTCCTGAGCCTCAGTGTTCTCTTCCCAGGCCTTTGGAGGGGAAACGAGGGAAGCAGAACTGAAGCCAATTAGCCCAGAAATCTGGGGACTGGCAGGGGGTGGGGTGGGGTGTGAGGGGTCCTGCTCTGAGTACAGGTGACCGATTCTAGGAAGTAGTTGGTCTGGAGTCCTACCCAGAAAGGTGGGTGTCCCACAGCGTGAGGCTCACTGACCCCGTTGTTGTCACTGTGATTTATTACAGTAGAAACTATTTATAATGAGTGATTCTGTATCAACAATAAACCAAACCTAAGCTCTGTCCCCTGTCCCCCAACCTCTGCTACTGGACTTCTGACTTCAGGAAGGCAGTCTGAGGGTGAGGGTAGGGAAGAAGGGGCTTGGCTGTCTGGCCTCCCATCCCTGTCCCCAAAAGCCTGGGTCTGGATAGGAGGAGAGCTACTCTGGACCTCTATTTCCATCCCTGGGCTTGGCTCTTGACTTCCAAAAAGCAGTGAGAAGGGGCCCTGTCTAGTGGACACTCCCCTGGTTCCCTGAATTCTGCTCAGTGCTGTGCACTCCCCCAAGGGATAGGTGGGCCTGGCTGTCTGGGTTTGGATGCCTCCTGCAGTTTGGGAGACATGGACCAGAACCTGGCCTTGGTTCCAGGAGCCTAGAAGTCACATTGTTTGAGGCATCAGGAAGTTGAAATCTAGGGGCTTGTATAAAACCCTAAATCCCTCCCCAAACAGGCTCTGGCGACCTGTGGAGAAGGGGGCAGGCAGAGTTGGGGTGTAGTGGCTATGGTGGGGGGCTGCTGCTGCTCCAGCCTCTACTGTCATCTCTGGCCTGGACCACTCCCCTTTCTCCAGTGGGCAATTTTGAGTCCCCTCTCTGGTGGGGGCTGCTGTGCATCACCACTTTCCTCTGAGAAATGGTCAGTTAGATCAAGGACAGGACTGAGCTTGGGGTGGGGAGGAGTAAGGGGGTCCTATGTTAGGGAATGCTGCTTTCCCCCTCTGCCTTGGCAGGCTGGCTTCTCTTTTTATGTGGGTATTTACTGCAAGTGGCCTTGTGTCAAACACGCTCAGTTACACGCGTGCACACTCAGCTCCCCACCTGGACCCACACTAATGGCCTTTCGGTGTGTGTGGCGGGGGTAGGGAAGTGATTGTCCCTGGGTGTGACCCTTGCCTGATGGGCTGGGGCAGTGGGCTAGGCAGTTGAGGGGGCCTGGAGAGGAGAGTTCAGGGTCTTCTGAGACCAGCAGAGGTCTTGAATAGATTCTCCCTTGAAATGAAGACTCCTTCAATGCCTAGGAACTTCCTTTCAGTTCCTTCCTGGTCCTGGAGACCTCCCTGGAGCTGTTATTCTCATTTGCCTCTCCTGGGGTGGGGAAAGGGATGGCCTGTGGGAGGGAATCCTGTGCCCACCCCAGCGCAGTAGTCCCATCTCACTGGCCTGCCGCCATTCTGCAGCTGCAGCCCCCTTCACCAGATACCTTGGCTCTCAGGGGAGCCGGCTTTGCTGTTCCCATTGTGACAGTGAAAAGAGCAGGGGGAGTCTGGGGCAGGCCCGACACTCCAGGAACAATCAGAGCAGCTTTGGCGAACCCACCCTCCCCTCAGCCTGTTCCCCTCTCCTTGCATCCTGAGGCCAGTGGCCCCTCGGCCTGCACAGATACCTCATCATCCACCCGCCACCCCTCCCCTCCCTGACCCCCAGCAGTGGGGGCCTCCAAATCTAGTGCCGAATGACTATGTCCAGATTGGTGACGATGGGTGTTGTTGCTGTTGTTTCTGTTGCTGTTTGTGAATGCTGTGATGCTGTGTGCCCAAGTGGGCAGCCACCACCCAGCACTTCCTTGGGCATCTCCCCTCCGAGAGCTGTCAGGACCACATCTTTCCTCACCCAGTGGGACTGCCTGTCCGTTCCCTCCCTAGCCCTTCCAGCCTGGGACAAACACACACACACACACACACACACACGCACACATATCTTACCTCTCATGCGTGTTTTACCTTTTGATGTTCAGAGTGGCTCACTGGCTGGGAGTCTTTACCTCGGGGAGGGGGGGAGGTTGGTTCCTTGGGGGGCCAAAGAAGGGCAGGGAATGCCTGGAGGGTAATTGAGGGGTCACCATAACCCCTACTGTCTCCAGGAACAGCTCCCCCAATCCCAGGGTCCCACCCCAAAACCCCAAAGAGGTGGCCCTTGTTTACAGTGAGGACTCGGTCACTGTGTCTCCGTTTCCTGAAATATAAACTGTAGCGACCCCAGACTGTAGAGATTTTTATGTGTTTGGATACATCTGCTGTGTGGGAAAAAAAAAAAAAAAACCTAAAAAAAACCCTAATTTTGTACATATTGTATTTTTACTATTGAACTGTATTCTAGTAGCTGTTCATGCTCTAAGACCTTAGGTATTGAGACATGAATAATATCCATGTAATAAGCACTTGCCTGGAATAAAATATAAAACTGAAATAAACCTGCACTGAAACCTGAGATGGCACTGCCAGCCTGCAGCATCTGGGTCATTTTATTGCAAAAGGGGGCAGAGGCCTGTAGGGGAAGACAGCCAGGGGGAGCAGCAGGGGCCACCTGTCCTTGCCTTGTTGATATTTGGTGGACAGAGTCTTCAAGCAACTCTTCAGCTAGTCACTTTCATAAAAAGATTTAGGATCTTCCAGTCTGATCCCGATGCCTCAACAAGCTCTGAAGACTGTAGTTCTGCTGTAGTTATACTGGTCTTATACTTTTTCTTTTTTTTAATGCTTCCCCCCCCCCCTTTTGTCTTCCTTATACTTCTGCAGTGCTTTATACTTCCTCAAACCATTTTTACAAACGTTATCTTGTTTCATCTTTTAACAGCCCAGTGGAGTAAATAAGCCAAGAACTAGCCCCATCTTGGCAGATAAGGAAACAGGTTTGAGGTGGCTGAGTGACTTGTTAAGGTCACACAGCTAGCCTGGGACCTTGTTGGAGCTACAGTCAGATCTCTTGACTCAGTAGAATTCTTCCCCTAGCATTTGCCACCCTTGTCTGGGGCCCTGTCCTAAAGTCAGGGATCCATTGGAAAAGGTAAAGGGGAATTGGGAATTGCCAAGGACCTGAGTACAGAATGTGAGAAGCCACTTCTGGAGTTGTAATTATAAGTCATCTGGGGAGTTCATAAAGCTGTCTTTTCTAGGAAAGGAACAAGGGATAGAAGTTGGAGGTCAGGGGCCAAAGAGCCATGTTCTCAAGGAGGCCTGGAAGACTCTTCTCTTTATAGCTGCATCTTCTCTCCCCACAGTGTAGGTGAAACCAGCCCTCTGGCAGGCTGTCTCAGAAGTAAGTAGTGGGAAATGAGGGCACAGAGCAGTAAACTGGGTCTAGCTAAGACCAGGCTGGTGGAAGCCGCCTAGTCTCATCCTTTCTACTCCCTAACACCACCCATTTGACTCCCAGCCCCAGCAGGGGGAACTTACTCTGCTACTCTTACTGGGGCAGGTGGTGGGGAGAGGGGTTTACCCTTGAGGGAGGGTATGGTGGCCACAAATGTCTTGGGGTCCTATTCTCTGAAGAAGGGCCAGTCAAGAAAGGTCAGACCCAGTCCCCGCACCAGTGCACCAGCCCTTTTCACTTGTGCAATGTGGGCTCCCTCTGCTGGCAGCTCCAGGAAGAGCTAGGTCACTTCCATTAGCACCACTTCAGGAATAGCTAGGGTTGGGGTTAACCCTTCCTGAGCACCCACTCAGGCACTGAGCCCAGCGCTGAGGACACGGATGAAGACCCTGCTCTAGCAGTGATGACCCAGCACCATCTGAGGGCTGTCACTTTATCTTACAAGTAGGCAGAAGCTCCTCTCTCTGTCCTCAAAGGACAGTTGCCTCAACTCAGCCAGAGCCTGCAGGAGGGGGCAGGACCTATGGTCAAAGTAATGGAAAACAAAAAGCCCAAGTGTGAATCCAGTTGCTTCCATTTACCAGCTCTGTAAAGGGGAAGACTGACTGACTTTCCTGGGTGTGAGTTTCCTGAGGGGAGTGTTTATAGAGGCTGCCTTGCTTTTTGCTCTTCCTACCCACAAGAAGATTGCTCCCTGCCCTCTGTAGACCCATAATTTTGCAATTCACATGAATTCTCACAGCTAGCTGCATTCGTCATTGATAAACAAGTGATCCACCACTAAGAGTCCTACCAGTGACACTCAGACAGGTGTAACCCCAGGAGGAACTCAGGGCTACAAGACCCATCATTTTGGCTGTGGGATTCCCTCTGGTCCTAGAAGCCCAGCCCAGGGGTCTGGGTGGAATAGGGAGAGGTGGGAGTATGTGAAGGAACTGGGACACTCCCAGGCTAGTTTACCCCAGGCTATTGGTGAATTTCTTCCACAAGGTCACAGCAGGGGAAATTCTGATTCCTCCAGGCAATAAATCTGAGGGTGAGGAGTGTTCCCCCAAGGGGCTGATCAAGTTCCCTCACCCAAGAGCTCCCCGTGTCAACTACTTTCTTTGCCTGGGCAGCTCTGGCTAGTCTATATTCTATATTCTGTCTTGACAGCTGCGTCCAGCCTGCTAGGGGCATGGGCTGGGATTTTCAGCTCTGAATGAGTTGACGACAGGCCCTAATGCCCAGAAAGCTAGTGTCCTCTAGAACCAGAAAACATGTTGAGTGGCTGGAGTCTTCTAACTGGAGCCATCGATGATGTGACCAGTGGCACTCTGGGGTGGAGGGAGGGCAGAAGAGATGAGGACCTGTTACTACAGTTGGGCCCTTTCCATGACTCAGCAGGGTATGACCCTTCCTCCCAGGTCCCAGTCTGACCCAGGCATCTCAAAGACAGTGCTCAGTGGATGGGAGCCACAGCCAGAGAATCAGGGTCCTACCTCACTGTCTAGAGGTGTGGGAGGCTCCTATAGAACCCCAGTCAAGCTCCAGTTTCTCACTGTAGGAGGGCAGGCAGGCTGGAGAGGCCACTGGTCAATCTGAGATGGGATCATCACTCTGGGGTGAGGTCCCTCCAAGGGCACGCTCTGAGTACTTGAGGTTCAACTTTGTTGTCTTTTTGCCATCCTTGCCTTCTGGGGCTGGCCCTCTTTACCACTTGATTGTGGAGCTTCAAGAATTCCCCAATACATAGTCCAGTGCCAGGTCCACAAGCAGCCCCCAGAGCCGCAAGCATTGCCAAATGCTGTTTATTGGTCTGTTACACTGAAGAGTATAGTTTCTGAGCCAAAAAACATATACACTCTGCTCCTCACAAAATCAGAGTCACTAAGGCAGGCACACAACAGCCACCCGTGCTTGGTAGAGGCCAAGGACTCAGACAGGAGCGGGCAGTGGGGTGGGCCGGCCCCCACACAGGCCATGCAGTGCTCAGGGTAGGGTGGGCTAGGAAGGCTTTGCTGGGTGCAGAGGGTTGCTGGGCCCTTTCCCATGTGTCTCAAACACAGGAAGTCTGCCAGACCCTGGGACTGCTGGACAGGCCCCAGCACAGGTGTGGCCTCCAGGTTCTAGGGCAAGCCCTAGCCTGCATGTGCTGGCGTAGAGGGGGAGGTGGGGATGATGGCAAGACGCACACCTAGGCCTGGGGTCAGGGGCTGCATCTTTCCTGGCACCCTGTGAATGCAGCTCTCCTCCAAGTAGGTTCTGGGTCCCTTGGCCTCTTGGCATCCCAAGAAGCACATGGAAGGCAGAGCTAGCCTTGCTTCTCACCAGGGACAAACAAGGAAGACCCAGGCACTTCTGCCTCTCTCAGCCCCAGGGACTCTGCAGATGCCTGGGACAGGCAATGAGCTACCCTGAAGCTCTGAGGCCTGTTGCTAAGGAGGCTGTGACAGGATGGCCTCCCTACAGGATCACCTCGTGACTCTTCTCAACAAGAAGTGCTCCCACCACATTCCAGATCATCCAATTGGCAAGAGCATCACCTGTACAGTTTTCAGGGATGTATCTCTGCATAAAGCCAGGGCAGGGTATCGAGAATGAGACTGTGCAGATACACATGAGTGCACGGTACAGGGTTGGGAGTGCGTGGGGGTCACCTCAGGTTGCCAAAGGCAGTGGCAGTGCTGTTTAGGTGGGCTGCTCCTACCCAGGGCCCAGATCTTCTGACTGCCCCCCAGAATCGCAGGGGAGGGCCTGGAAGGCAGCTCAGGTCTCCTGCACCCAGGACACATGCCCGAACGAGCAGCTGTTCTGGCTGCCCCAACTGGGGCTGGTGTGTACACATGCACTGGGCCTGCAAGGGGACTCTCAGAAGAGACAACAGCACAGAGCCCCTTTCCCTACGCAAGCCTCACTAGGTAGGGCCCAGGCCACTATAACTCCTGCTGACCTTACAGGGCCCCCAGTTGACTTGAGAGATACAATGGGGAACAGTCCAGGCTGGGGCTGAAGGTGGCAGTGGGGCTATTTCCACTGGTTTGAGGGGAGCAGAGGAGGTGTCCCCCAAGGCAGCTGCTCTCTGAGGCCTACCCCTCCCATCCCAGCTCTGATTTGAGGGCACCCTGGCCTCCGACGTACCCTACAGGGCCAGCACTGTCCAGAGTCGCCTCCCGGGCTCATAATCACTTTGTTAGGAACACAGTTGGGCAGCCAGGGTCAGCAGGGTTTTGGGACAGTCTGGGTTGTGATACCGCTGCACGTCTCTTTGCTGGAGCCCAGGGTCCTGGTGCCCAGGCTCTGTGCGGCTGCTGCCTCCAGCCACAGACCTCACTTGTTCTCTATGAGCATCTGCACCTTGTGGACGAGGTCCCGGGCAATCCGCAGGATCTCCTGGGCATCATGACACTCAGCCCGTTCTGGGGGAAACACGGGTAATTATAGGGAGGCCCAGAGAGGAACACTGGGCTGGGAGGAACACTGTAGCTGACTACCCTGCTCTCCGTTTCTACCTGCTAGATTCCTGACATCCTGTCCATGGGGAAGGGACCCCGGTAATTACTGAGAACCCTCCAACTCTGACCCAGCCAGGAGTGGAGGCCCCTGTGCCCCTGCTGGAGGCAACCAGGATGGCTGGAACAGCTCATACCATTGAAGAACTTGATGATATCAGTGAAGTCCATGTTGTTGTCGCGGATAATCTCTCGGTAGGCCTCCACCAGGGCCAGGGCGATGAACAGGACGAAGTGCTCCGATGAGATCTGCCTGGCCGCCCAGATCACCTCCCACACAGCAAACACATCCTCGTACAGCAGCTCTGGGGACAGTAAGGGGCTGGCACTCACCAGTCCCAGCCACATGGCTGTGGCTAAGACTGGGCCTGGCTACCTACAGGCCTCTGGAGGTGGTGAGTCAGACCTCCAGGGGCCAAAGTCCTGGGACAGTCCCCATTAAACAAAGCCTGATGTAGGAGTGGGGTTCCATACCCCACACCAAGACCCCGCACCCCTTCTCTTTGCTAATTTCTGCATGCTGGACTCCTGCAGACTCCATATCTGCACTGCACTTTGCTTCACCAGAGCAGCACCACTTTTATAAATCCCACATCTTGGTGCTCAGGGAAGATTTTTTTGAAAAAAGTCTCTAAAACCATTACCTAGCAGGAGGATGGTTGCCAACCTGGTTGCACTCTGGAATCACTGAAGGAGCTTTTTTTTTTTTTCCTTTTTGTCTTTTTTACTGACCGGTAACGGGATCGCACCCCTCGGTGTGACGCCCGCACCGCGCTCAGCCAGTGAGCGGGAACCGTTCTCCACATGGGATCCGAACCCTCGGCGGGAGCACCACCGCACTCCCAAGCAGCACACTCTCCAGTGCGCCACCGGCCTGGCCCTGAAGGAGCTTTTTTTTTTTTTTTTAAAAAAGATGACCGGTAAGGGGATCTTAACCCTTGAATTGGTGTTGTCAGCACCACGCTCAGCCGGTGAGCGAACCGGCCATCCCTATATAGAATCCGAACCCGTGGCCTTGGTGTTATCAGCACCACACTCTCCCGAGTGAGCCACGGGCCGGCCCCCTGAAGGAGCTTTTAAGAACACATATTCCCAGCAGCCACAGTTAGTAAGTTTGGGGCTGGGTGGGGCCCAGGACACTGGCAGCTTTTAAAAGCTCTCCAAGTGTTTCTGAAGTGCAGTTAGGGTTGAGAAGCACTGACTGTGGGGAAGAGAGATCTCCCGTTGCCCCTGACTCCAGCCTCACGTTCCCACTTCTCACCTCTCTTAAAATCCAGCAGGAACCAGCGGTAACAGAAGTAGAAGTGGGTGTAGTCTCCATTCTGATGCATCAGTTCAAACAGCTCTGAGTCCAGGATCTTCAGTGGGTGGGGAAAACGAGATGATAAACTGATGCTGCCACTTTGGCCACCCTTGCCCTCCATGCCCAGGGCAGCGTGGGCCCCAGACCTCCAGGAGGCACCTCCCTGCTGTGCTATGCCTGCTGCCTTGCAGCGGCACTCTCTCCCTCTCAGGTCTCCCTGGGTGGGCGTCCCACTCTGTTGTCCCCCCATCTTTATGGGCTGTATTCTTTTTGGGGTTATACCATTTTCTGGGTGTTTGATTTAATCATCAATCCCACTACTCACCAGAACTTTTACAAGCACAAGCACTCATACTCCTTCTTGATTTGTAACATTGAAAACAGTTTTTCAAGATGAAAGAAATTAAGATGATATGTAAAGGACATTTGGGGGACACTCCCTGGCCACCCTGTGGATAGACAAGCCCAGCACTGCCCGTCATGTGCCCATGGGCAGCTGCAGACCTCACCTGGATGAGGGAGCGCATGTTGGCAAAGTGGGTGTCCATGGCGCCTCCGTTGGGGAAGTTCTGGCTCATTCTCTTCATGAGGTGACTAAAGCAGCTGTAGGCCAGCTGATCTAAGGGAAGACAGGAGTGAAGCCGGCAGGGCGGGAAACCCCAGAGGACAGGCTGGCTTACATTCCCACCCTTCCAGACCTAGCCATCTTCTTTTCTTTTCTCCAGCTGACGTCAGCTCACTCCCAACACCATTTTGGGAACCCCCACACCCCCATCCCTCACCATTGTCAAGGATGACCAGGAGAGGTGCCAGCAGATCACACATGCCCTGCACATAGCCCACGTCCAGGTGCTCCCACACGTAGCTGAAATGCCGGGGACAGAGTCACTGGGGCTGTGCTCCATCCCTCCCTTCCCTCGGGGATCCCTGGGGAGGTGGCAACTACAGCAGCCTGCTACCCAGAAGTCAGCCTCTCTATGAGCCGGAAACACTTCCTGTGTACCCTACACTGGGAGACAGTGGGGAACAACTCCCAGACCCCTGGCCCCAAGCCCTTGAGGACTCAGGGAAGGAGACAAGAGGCCATCACAGTCTGGTGTGGGGGGCAGGGGAGGGAAACCAGGCAAGGCTCCTTGAAGAAGTATGGCTGAAACCGAGATCTGAAAGGCCTCTAGGAATGAAGGGGGGTGTGGGGGGGTGAAATACACTGCAGGGAAAAGTGTTCCAGACAGAGAGAGAGTCAAGTGTGATTCAGGAGCAGGCGTGAGAAGGGGGGCGCCTTCTGGACCTAACCTTTCAGAGAGCAACCAGCAGCAGCCAAAGTGTGGGGCAAGGTCCCTGCCTCCCACCCTCAGCCCTGTCCCACAATGGCACCTGCACATGATGTCTCTGAGCCTCTCGAGATTGGGGGTCGTGAAGTACCAGTAGTTGCGGTCACATCTCTGCACATCCTTGTCTATGCGGTGCAGATTTAAGGCCACGGTGTCCAGTAATTCTATCTAAAGAGTAGAGGGCCCTCAGGGGTGAAACTGGCCAGACGCTTCCAGGTTGAGGGCAGGAGGTGGTGCCCAAACAAAGAAATGCAGCAAAGCAGGGAACCCAGGGAAGTCAGAGAACAGAGTCCTCTGGGGATGCTGAGAGATGGGCTTGGTGCTCCCTTCCAGGCCAGTTAGAGCACCCCCACCTTCCACCCTGCCAGCCCACCCCCAAACTGTGGGATGCCAGGAGGGAAAGGTGCCTGGAGACTGTGTACATACAGTGTAGGCAGCAGCGCACACAGCTATGAGCTCCTGCCCTGCTTCCAGCTCGCTGGTCCGCGAAGCCTTCTCCTGGCTGGGATCTTGGGGCTCAGAGAAAGCATGGGGTGCAGAGACTGGCCTGTCAGAGCTTTCCTCCCCTCCACCGTCCTCCTCTTCAAAGCCCATGCTCTGCCCCTCATCTAGGCTTGACTGGATGCCTGAGGTCACGGAGTAATTGCGAGAGGATGGCAGTCCTGAGTCTGGAGAGTCAAACTCCACAGACTGCTGCTGCTCTATCACGGCAGTGCCCGGAGTCCCTGCTCCCAGTTCTTGCTCAGGCTTTGGTCTGGAATCTTCAGGGCCCTGAGGCCCTGGGGGCTCCAGATCATCCACAGAGATAAAGACCTGGTGGGAGTGAACAGACAGTAGCTCCCACCTGTACTCCAGGACCCTCCCACATCCCCTGCCTCCTCCCTGGATCAGGGGGAGCTGGGATGGAGAATTCTTTTCATACTCCCTACTCCCACCCAGTCTCAACGCTGCCACCCCTGGGTGCCAAGCCAGGCAGAGAGAAATAAGGTTCTGGGCAAACATGAAGACACCATCTTCAGCCCTACCCAATCCCTGCTCATGTGAAGCACTCCAGGGCTTCCCATGGCTGCTGGAGGGAAGAAGGGGAACCAGAGGCCTAGACACTTGGTGGCCAGTTTGAGCTGTCTCATTCTACACATGGTGAAGTTACAAGACCAGGAGAGGTTCCTTAGCGTCTTGGTAGGACTGCTGGGGCACCCTGCAGGGAGGGCAGGCTAGAGGTTTTAGGAAAAACAAGTTTTTCCTTATTTTCATTATTGAATGTTCAGCAGGACAAGACAGGAAACTTCTGTAGCAAGTATCTCATCAGTTATATTAGCCTTCAGACAAGCTGAGGAGGGGCAAGAAGTAAAAGGAAACATATTCTACTGATTGGAAACAGTCTACCAGCGAAACAGTCTACCGCCACGGACAAGTCACAGGGAAAATAAAGAGACATACACAGACTGTTTTTGTTTTTTCTTTTTGTTTGGACTATGTAGGGAAAAGGATGCTAAAAAAGTTGTTTTCACTTTGAGCAAGAAGCATGAAGTGTGGAAAAGCACAGTTCTGAGGCAATTAAGAGTCTCAGAGTACTGCCAGCAAGGAAGGCACAGCTGTCTGCTAGCAAAGCAGCTGGGACACCAGTACAGACTAAGGTTTTTACAAAACGCAAAGCCAGAGAGGAGAACACATTCATGAATTACAGGTTAAGAATGAAGCACGTGGAAAAGGACAGTATGCCTTGTTCTATTTCTTCAAGTCTTGTTCCAACTTACATTTTCTGTTAATATTAGTAAGGATTTGTAAAATAACAAGAATATACATCATCCAAAGAGTCGATTTTAAAGAAAAAACATAAACTGGGAGGAGAGGGGATCTTGCCAATACACACCAATAGGCCTGATCTAAGTACTCCCCTGCTCTCTGGCCAACAGCTCTCAGTGAAGCCTCTACAATCAGAGTACATGAAAGTGAAGAGGAGAAACTGAGATACAGAAATGGGAAGTTCTTGTCCAGACACTCATCTTGGCAGAAGTGGATCCAGGACTAGAACGCAGGGCTGCCTGTTCTTAGCCTTGAGGTCTCTCTACAAAGAGGGTGGGCTTCCCTTAATCCCAGTAAATCCATTGTGATAGAACACAATGCACTATCTCATTTTATTCCTACATCCAGAGAAGTAGGCAGCAGAGGGACAGTTATCCACTTTCCAGTTGAAGAAAATGAGACACCTTTCTTCCAGGCTCTACTGCTAGTACTAGAGGTTGGGCTGGGGCTGAGGACTCCTGTGTGTAAAATGTTAGTGGTTCCCCTGGCCCCCCAACCCCCGAGGCCCCGTCTGGCTCACATCATTGCTGATGGTGGAATCTCGGTGGATGAGGCGCTGCACGTGGCTGTCAATGCTGCTGCCCGAGGAGAACTTGGTGAGCGTGGCTGGGTGAGCCTCACGCTCCCGCTGCCTCACTGCCACCTCGCAGGCCTTCCATTCTGCCAACACCTGCTGATACCGTGCTGCCACCACTGCATCCACCTGTACTCAGACCACACCATGGCCATCGGGGAGGGGTGCACCAGGCCCCCCTCTTCAGGGGCTGGGCAGGCACTACACCTTTGGCCCTGAGTCTCAGAGGCTGGGATGGCTGGACACGAGATAGGGCCTCGGGGGAAGGACAGTGGAGCCACTCTGCTAACATCTTCCTCTGTCATGTTTCTTTCCTGGGAAGGGGCTGACGCTTTTAAGGCCCCCTTCCTCCCTTGACCCAGCTCCCAGTCTCCATATTCCCATGGGAATAGGCTCCCCTTACCTGCTCCATCTCCTTCTTGCTCATGCCAAACTTGTAGTGGCCAAGCAGAAAGGGCCAGACGTCCTTGCGGATCTCATGCTCCACGCCTCCGTAGTAAACTTGCCGCAGCAGCTCCAGTTCCTTGTAGTTCTGAGGGACCAAGGGAGTAAAGACTGTGCATCCCCTTGGTCTCTGTGGCCCAGCTGGGTGAGCCCCATGGGGCTGGGGAGGGGGCTTTAGTCACTGCTGAAGCCCAGAAAAACACTGCTTTGGGGCAGCCGTGTCCTCCTGTGTCCCAGATTCCAGTGGGATAAGATCTAGTTCTACCCTCCTATCTTACAGAGCAGGAAATGGTTCCCAGAGGCATGCAAAGGTTTGCTAGTGGTCAGAGGGCAATGTGGAAGCAGAACGGATTCCCAGTCTAGTCCCCTTCCCATGTGAACCCACAGACCCAGCTGTATGAGATTCTACCATGACCTGGGTCACTCCATGGCCATCAGTGCTGGCCTGTCAACCCCATCTCTCCCCACGCTTTGCCCTGAGTGCCCATTTGGTCTACGAAGGCTCATCCCAGACCAGACTGCTTTTCACTCACTGCTGCCCACCCCATGCCCTCAAACTGGTCTCTGGTCCTGGAAGCCCAGACCTGGTACCTTTTTGTCCTTCTGATACTTGCTCCACACATCTTTGGTGAGGCCGCCCGAAGCCCCTGGGGGCCGGTCGGGTGGAATAATGTTGTGATGCACCAGCGCTGACAGGTGGGTCCGCACCGTTGACAGATGGCGGCAGTATGCCAGCCCTGCAGTGGGCAGCCAGGAGGCAGTGACTGGGGTGCCTTCCCCACCCCACAGCCCCTCACAGCCCCACCTTCCCCGCACACTCACAGCCATAGAAGGCCCGGGACACAATCTGCCTCTTCATGCTCTCGCACAGTAGCCTGAGTGGCAACCTGTGGAAACAACCTGGCTTAGAGGGGAGGGGGCTGAGGCCCCTTGGTGGGAGGAGGACAAGAAGGAAGGGCATTTCGGCTGGGGACAGGTAAGGTGCTCGGGATGGTGCGGGGAGCAGGATCCATAGCCAAGCAGCACATCAGTGGGCTCTGTCCCTGCTGGCCACCCTGGATAGAGCTGCTGGGGGCCCAGCCTGGCTCCCAACAACCAGGGACTTTGGGCAACTAACACTTCAAAGTATCTTGGTTTGCTCATGTGAAAATGGAGAGAACCACCTCAGGGTCATCAGGAGAAACAGGTGAAAAATGAAGTAACAGGTAGGAGAGCACAAAGCAAATGGTCTTCACACAAAGGCCATTCACACATTCATTCCTGGCACATGGCAGATACCCAGGTATCTATGGAGTGTCCTCAGTACAGCCTGACAGCAGGATCAATGTCTACATTGGGAAGGGGAGATCACAAGTATTGAGCACCTGCTATGTGCCAGGCACAACCCTGGGCATTCACATAGGTTATATCTCCTTTAGTCCTCACAAGTACCTAGGGAGCAGATGGTCTTGTCCCCATTTAACAGATGAGGGACCTGAGGTTCAGAAACATAGATGCTCATAGAGACTCAGTAACTTGCCAAAGTCACATAGGTAGCAGAAGTGAAATTTGAACCTAGGTCTGTCCAACTCCAAAGGCCACCCTGTCATGCAAGTGACACAGCTGCAAAGGACAGATGGACACATACACATGAATGGACATACTAATGGGAGGCTGGTGTTCTGGGTCCTGCCCACTTACCGGTCAGGGATGCAGGTGCAATGGCTGGGGATGGCATATGGGGAGCTGCTGGAGGAGCAGGAGAGGCAGGAGGAGCCCTGGCTATATAAGGGCTCCAGGTGCCAGGCTGGCAGGCTGGGCCCAAAGCCCTGCATCTCAATCATATCGCCAGCATCTGAGGGCAGGAAGGGGGCCATGGTCAGGGCCTGGCAGGCCTCCTCCCCCAAGCACCCTGCAGCATGCCCACCTCTGTGCCCAGAGCTGCAGCATGAAGTCATCCATTGGTAGAAAACTGCAGCGGTGGTGCCTGCCTGATTCAGAGCCCAGAGATGGAAATGGTGGGAGAGAGGGAGAGTGCCTGACACTTCCCACCTCCACCAAGCCTGGAGGGGTCGGCAAGGTGTCTTTCTGTGCATGACAAAATACTTGGACTGAGTCGTGGGTGACTGTCTATCTCTATCTTGCTACTAGCAAACACTTGCTTTTCTAGAGGGAGGGAAAAGAAAGAGAAAGAACAACAAAGGCCTGAGCTCCCTAAAATGCCACCAGCTAGCTTGACCTTCACGGACTCAGCTTGGTTCTCTTGGGCAAAGTCTGAGATGCTCAGGAAGGTGCTTAGAATGCTTCAAACTCTGAGCCCTCCTCTCTAGAGGAGTCCTCACTGAACAAAGCTCCTGAGGGATCCACCTGTCCCACAGGCCTCATGCTTCTAAAGGGTTCTACATCTGGTGGCCAGTGGCCAAGGAGGAACAGTCCTTCCTGCCCGGGCCAGGTACCCCTGCTGCCAGTTCCCTGGGCACTTTCTGAATTCTCCCCCATCCTCACCTAGTCTGACTGTACTCAGCATGGTGGCCTCCTGGAAATACACAGGCAAACTGGAAGGAAGGCAAAATTCCCAGGGCTGCCAGGCCACTGTGGGGATGGGGGTGGTGGCTGGGCACACAGGCCCACCATCCAATATGCCAATCATGGAAGAATGTGTCCAGGTGCAGCCTCAGAAGATGGCTCCTTGGACACATCTACACCACTAGCAAATGGAGCCTTCTCACCCAGTCCAGCTGGTCTGAATCAGAACTCAATACCCTTGAGAGCTTCCAAGGCCCAAGTGGGGTGCATAGCAGTGCTCATGGGGGATGCTGGCAGGTCCAGTGAGCCACAAAGATGAAGAAAAGTCAGGGCAGGAAGTAAAAGGACTAGGAGGTGATGCCAGGAGGTAGGTAGAGAGCAGAGCAGATCAAGGAGAGAGAGAGTGGAGTGTGCTGAGCAGACTTCTTTCAGCAGTAGTTTTCTTGGCGAATCTAGCATGGTGCTGGCTCAGCCTGGGCCTTGGCCTACCATGGTCTGGAGCAGGTGTAGGCTTTTGTGGAGCCAGACTCCAGTTTTGGGCGTGCTTTCGTGGGGAGGGCTGAGCTGAGCCCCCTCTAGTCTTTTCCCTGCCTTGGCCCCGGGGCTCTTTTCCCAGACCCAAGGCTGGGAGTTTTGTAGCTATCTGGCCCTTCAGCTCCACCAGGAGGCAAATTAAGGGAACATACTTGGTGAGGAAGGGCTGCGGCTCTGGGAGAGAGGGGTTGCAAGCCATGCCCAGGACTCTGGGAAGAGAGAGGGAGGGGACGAGTGCAGGTGGGGTGGGGCAGAAGCCCAGCTCATGCCCCTGCAGCAGGTAGGAGAGAGGCCAGTCCTGGGAGAAGCTGGGGTGGGAGTAGGCCCAACTGGGCAGGCAGCAGGCAGGGAGGGTGACAGGTGCAGAGGGCGGAGGGTGGGCACAAAGGGAAACAAGCTCATGTCCAGAAAGCAGGGCCCAACCAAGGCAAGTCTCCTGGGTCAATGCTCTTCACCTTAATTCTCCAGGAAGGAGCTGAACCAGCCAGCATTGAACACTGCATCTCTGAATTAACCCAGTGCAGACAGCTGAAGCTCTGGCGTGACTGGGTGAAGGGTAGCAGGCTGGATGGAGGGATTTGCTGGGTTAGCTTTGACTCTGACTCTCTCTCCTCTGAGCATGAGGAAAGTGTAAAGCAAAACAAATCAGGGTGGGTGAACCCCACAGCCCCTAAGACTCCGAGTGAAAGGTGCCTGGCCTGGAGCAGAATTAGAGTGAATAGCATCTCTGCTCTGTAAGGGAGGCAGCAGGAAAAGGAGGGGAGAGGAGAAGGGAGGGAGAGGAGATTTGGATACCCCACCACTTGATTCACATGCACAAGTCAAGCATGTTGCAGGCCTGAAAAGCAACAACTAGCAGAACAGACTCAACAGTGTTGTCATTATGGACTGGAGTGAGGTGGGGGGCTCACATCCCCCATCCTATGTCCCCAATCACCTGCTGATTCTGCTGTCATGACTCCTGCCCTTTCCCAAGTACTGGGGGCCCATGGGCTGCATACTGTGTTGGTCTAGCCCCTGAGTTCTCCAAGAGGATGCCCAGACGAGCCCTGAGGCCTCTGGATCCCATGGGCCTGGAAGTTTCTCCGATCCCAGAAGCTTTAGCCCTAAGAGTAGTCAAGGGTCAGCTTTCTATTGCCAAGTTGCCAGGACCAGGGCTCTGCTAGGATCCTCCAGCCTGACTACAAGTTCATAGGGTAAGAAGGGGCTCCTTATGCCTCGCCCCCAGCTCAACCTTCCCACACTGCTCAAAATCAGTTAACCTGTAAATAAGCATCAGCCCCAAGTTCAGGCTTTCAAGGAACCAGATGACAGGTTTGTGTGCAGGCAATAAGCATCAGCAGGAGGATGTTCCCACCTGGGCCTGGGCTGCAGCCGGCTACTGGAAGGGCTGGGAGGGAAGGTAGGCAGAAGAGCAGGCATGTGGCAGTAAGAGGGGCAGCTGGTGGGGTTGTGCTGTGTGTGCTGGCTGTGTTCTAAGTTGCGGACCTGGCTGCCCAGCAATGGGGAGACTCAGTACCACTGGCTGAGTGACCGGGCTATGGAACTGGGCTCCTTGGCAGAACTTTGTGGAAGCATAAAGTTACATATTCTTAGACACCCTCTGCAGGGGCAGGAAAAGGAAAGAAACAATTCTGTGGCATGGAAATGGGTGGGGATGGAGAAGTTGGCCTAACCTCCAAGAGAGCTGGCCTTAGCCTCCTCATAACCAACCTGAGCACCCTTGCTAGCCCACACATGTCCCCTGGCTGACTGGTCTCCAAAAATAGTGGGGTTCCCTCTCTACCAACCCAACTCTGTGCTAAGAAAGATGGGTGGTAGACAGAGGAGCATTGAGAGGCTGTGGGCACTGTGCTGTGTCATTCCAATGAGGGGGCCTCTGCAGTCATGGATTCTTAAGTCCGTGAGGACAGAAGCACACTTGTCTTGTATCCCTGGCATAGCACCTGGCACAGATGAAGAGACTGAACTTCATGATGGTGAGACACTCACTTAAAACCATACAATGAAGGAGGGGCGTATCAGGGACAGGAATTTATGTGGCCATACCCTGAGCCTGTGTCACTTTCTGGATACCATGCTGGAGATATTTCTAGATTTCATGCTAAAGTACCAGGCCATGCCTGCTGGAGCCCTCAGGCCTGCTGGAAAAACAGCCCTGGGGTTTCTTCCCATGGTGGCCCTCAACCCCTCACCTGACCCATAGGAACTACTGTCCACATGATCTGTCCAGCCCCTACTCCTACCCAAGGAAGGGCCTGGCACATCTGTCCTGTTTTCATTAAGTCAGGAGTCAGAAGCACAGGATCCAGAGGCTGGTCTTCGCAAACAGCAGGAGAGAAAGAAAGATACCATTGTCTGGCATTTGCGTGCATGACCCCCAGGAGAAGGAATGGGCTCAGAGAGCCATTCAAGGTCCCCAAGAGGCATTCAGAAAATTCAGACCTTTCCATCAGTGGATCCTCTTCCCTCTCAGGCATGAAGCCCTTCCTTACAGCCCAGAGACACTCTGTACGGTCCCCTCTTCTTGCCAGCACCTGTCTGGCCTCCTTCCATCCTCCCTGATCTGCCTCCTGATGGAAGGGAACTGCCCTAGGTGCAAGTCCCTTAATGCCAACACTGCCGTTTGAGCCCCTGTGGTGGGTGGCAGGTAGGCCCAGGGGGGTGGGGTAGGGGATGGGGTGGGGGATGAGGTGGGTCAGGGAGAAGGGGAGGGATAAAAACCTTTCATCGGATTGGGAGCTGTGAGGTTCCGCGAGCAGATCATTGAGAGCATCGTGTGTAGTTTATCTTCCTCTTCCTCATCATCGTCCACCGAGGCCGCGCGGCTGGCCGCTAGGTGGTGGTAGTTAATAGTGACTGCTCAAAGAGAATAGCGAGAGAGGCAGAGGCATGAGGACCCTAGTCGCTGGAAAGAAGGGACTCTCTCCTTAAGGTGAGTGGGATGGAGGCTGTGAGCATCTTGAACCTGCAGGGCGTAGAAGAGGAGAAGGCAGGGACCTGAAAGCTCTTTTGATGATTTACTTGGGAGAGTATGGAAGAAGGTAAGGTCTGGGAGGTAGCTATAGAACCCCACTCTCTGGAAGAGGCCCTCTGTAGGAAGAGCAGAAGAGAGAGAACTGAGGGCAGATGTGAAAGACAGGGACTGTTTGGGACAGACTGGCAGCTCAGGAGCTCTCCAGCCCTGCCAAGGCGGGGCACGACTGTTGGCAGACGGCTGCTGATCACTCTTCACCTCCCGTCATGGTGAGGCTGGACCAAATCTGAAGATTACTCTAAATCCCTCTTCTCAGATAGTAAATTCAACCTTCTCCTCCAAGGGTTTTCCCAGAGCTGTCCTCAAGGAGCCTGAGTCACTCAGCTGAGTTCCAGCTTCTTGGCACCCTGGCTCGTCCTCCAGGGAAATGATCCTTGAAATGAAGTGACCAGGATTGGGATATGCAAAGGACTGAAGAGGGGAAGTAGAGACTGAATAATCTAAACTGAGAAACAGCCTGAGATTAGAAGTTGGATTTGCAAAAGTTCTGGCAAAAGATGTGTCTCCTTGTCAGGTATATTTGGGAGGGGTAATCCCCACATCTTGTACCCTCCTAGTCTGTTGGGACTATTCGTGATGTGGCTATATGTATGCAGTCTGGATTATCTGTCCACTAATATAGAGGCCACTTGTTGACAACTTTTTGGCACAAGTTAGGAAATTTAGGAAGCAGGTGGTCTGGGCTGTCAAATTCCCTGACAAGAAAAGCAAGTCTGGCCCAGAGAAACCTTCGGGTAGCAGCAGCACCCTGATCAGAAAGGGAACTTTGGTGTTGTAGATACATATAGAGAGAACTCCAGGGGGGCAGGACCCATGAAGGCCAAGCCACCTTTAGGACCCCCAACCCCCAAAGTCCTCTGGGCAGCTCCAAGTCCTAGCCTCATCAGATGCAACCCACTACCTCCAGCTGAAGCTCCTCTCATCAGTAGCTGGTTTGAGGAAGACTCGGGCTCTAGAGGAATCAGTGAACCATTTGTACCACCCAAAAATAAGCGCTGATCCCACACCCAGGCTGCTTGTGGGGGTTGGGGAGCAGGCCGAGGGGAAATGGAGAGATATCCTCCTTCTATTTTTAGTTTCTCCGTGTTTTTTTCTTTCGGGGCAAGGCATAAAAGGATGACTAAGAGAATCTTGTACAGTGACGTCTGGGTCTGCTGAGCCAAGTCTTGGGGTGAAGAGGTGGGGACGATAGGTAGAGGAGAGGCAACTTTTCAAAGGGATGATTTGGTGGTGAAAGATTCAGTTGAGAGGCTATGCGATGACCCTCTTGTCTTAACCTGGCCTGGTCAGCGGACCCTGACTGACACCCCTCCTGGGTGACACTGCACCCCCCCACCTCCCTGAGCATCTTTCTCTCCTCCAGGGATGAAGTTTGGACACTCACTGTGCTCGTGCCTGTGCCCGGGGTAGATGATCCTGAACACGTAGTCTGTGGCCCACCCCATGCACTTCTCCTCCACGTCCACGGACCTCATGCTGCTGCGTTTCCGTAGCCTGGGGAACACCTTCCCCTGTGGAGGGGGGGGGGTGGTCAGCCTGTCCAGGGCAGGGTCCCATCCAGCATACCACCCCAAGGCTGTTCCTAAGAACTTCAAGTGGTGAAAGGAAGGGAGGTGGGTGGAGAACCCACCCCACACAACCCTTCACCCAGAGCCTCCCACACCCTCAGGTACCTTCCCCTGCTGGGTCCATAGTGGGGGCTCTAGCTGTCCTCCAGGCAGCAGCCCATTCTCCAGACAGGACAGAAAGGACAGCAGATGTCCTCCCTGTGGGAAGTGCAGCGGCGGCCTCTGGATGCCATCCTGACTCACCAGCACAAGTGTGCCACCACTCTCTGGGGGTTGAACATGGGTAAGTGAGGCTGGGCCCCTCTTCGAGACCTCCCTGTTCATCACCATGGCCCCACTGGCCAGGATCCCCAGGTTAGGTAGGAGGAGGACAGTTGGACTGAAGCATGGCCTGGGAGCCTCATTAACAGGGATGGTGGGAGGAGGGGAAGGCCAATGGGCCCCATGCACAGTGCACGACTGGGAGAAAGTAATCTCTCCCTCCCCACCCCTGTGCCCAGGACAAGGCAGGCTTACTTTGTTGGTGGCAGTGAATGCAGACAATCTGACTGAAGGGTACCACCAGGGCATAGTCCCAGTAAACACTGGAAAGGAACCAGATTGGTGTCACTGTGTCCCAAGACATGCCATACTGCCTTCCTTCCTGCCCCCTACCACCCCTTGAAACTACCCAGAAGATAGGACGACCATAGCTGAGAAATGACCTCAGACGGCCATGTTCCTCTGTGCCCCATGTTGTCCTCATGGCATAGAGCCTGTCAGTCTCAGCTGCCGAGAGCTTGGCTCAGGCAAACCTCTTTATGCCCAGGCGTGGCTCAGTCTTAGAGAGTTTGAGAATCACTCCAGGTGGCCTCTCCCTGCAGTTCTTGGCATCTGGATAGGGAGTGAGGCCTGCCTCCTGGAGCAGGCTGGGTCTCTCCACCCCCCTGCCTGAGGTCAAGCCCTTACTCCCTTCCCTGGCTCCTGGGAGCAAGTCCTAAAGCCCCCACCTCTTTTCCAGCTCGGAGTCCCTCAGAGTCCCGTTCATGAGCTGGTTGGGGGTCCACTTCAGAGTTAGGCTCTCTGCAGACTGGTGCAGGGAGAGGTAGCCAGGGACAGCCTCCATGTCCTCTTTCTATAGGGAGGGGACACACCAGAAGATACAGATGATGAGAGGATGGGTGGCTCTCAAGGATGACCCATGGAAAATGAGCTGCAAGTGGGAGGAAGGGTGGACAGGCATGGCTGGCCATAGGGTCCTGGGCTGGAAGCAGGGCAGAAACAAGGAAGAACAGGGGCCATAGGGAAGATCTGGGCATCTCCTCTCCCTGATTGGCCTAGTGCTATTGGCTCTGTCCTGTCAGCCTCCTGGATGCCAGGTGTGTCCTGGGCCAGCCACACTCAAGCTGGGCATTCACCCTGCCTGCTGGGCGTCATGGTTCTCTGTGAGCCAGAGCAGATACCATCCCTGGTTCCCACTAACTCGAGGCTGGGCATGAGTCATATGAAATAGTGAGGTGGGGGTGGGGCCATTCTCCCCCTTCTTTCTGGTCAAACTCCTAAAGAAAGGAAGGACGGTGGCTGGAGGCTTCCAGTTCTGGGATCCTTTGGAAGAGAGAGATTGAGGGGAGGGTGGTGGCATTAAGTTTTCCTACCGGCTGTACGAGCACATTGTTCTTGCCATAGAGCAGCCGCATTCTTGAGTTCTGGTGCAGGGATTCTACATACTCGCGGGCGCAGGCAGCTAACCTGTCCTCTGATGCACTGCCACTTGAGTGCCGCTTCCGGATCTGTGTGGAAAGCCGTGGCTCAGTCTCAGCCTTGGGAAATCAGCCTCAGGGCTTGAGAACCCTTTGGTTTCCATGCTGACCCCAGGGTCCTTCCTGCCCCCAGTTTGCTCTCTGCCAACCTCTGCTCTCCAGCCATGGAGCAGCATGGGCTCCTGGCATTTATGTCAGTGCTAGTGTGGGGAGAAGGCTCTCTTGGGGCGGCCATTACCTTGGGGCATCTCCAAGGCCTGTCATTTCCTTCCCGACAGGCCCATGGGCATAGCATGGATGAGCATAAGGGGTGGGGGAGAGACACCTACCCCTAGGGCTGGGCGCTTTGCAGGGGAGTCCTGGCGATTAGGGAGACCCCGGATACGATGCCTTTGGACCAGCTCCTCAGCAGAGGGGTCAGTCCAGTAGTGGTCAGTTGTCTTGAGCTTAGTGTATTCCAAGGCACAGGGTCCCACTGTGGAGACAGGGACAGCCAGCTTAGATGGTGCTCCCTTAGCACCTGCCCCTCAGCCCCCACTGGCCCAGCACAGGCCTCTATGCTCTCAGGCTCACCTAGAAGAGAGGCCAGGATTGGGCCAAACACAGGGTCTGCCAGTAAAGCCTCCTTCTCGTAGTACTTGCTGCCCAGGAGAGAGACAGGGTGACTGCTGAGGCTCCTGGATTCACTCCAGGGCAGTCAAGCTCACGGGGTAGGGACATCCCCACAAAGACCAGATTCATGTCAGTCACCAAGAAGGAAAGAGTCCATAAGGACTGAGCTTTGTGGGGAGCCTGGTGTGATTGATTCCTTTGGGGTGCAAAGGAGAGATGGAGGCATGCCTGGAGGCCGTCATGGACAGTCAAGCATGCTGAGGGGTGGGTCTGATGGATTGTTCAGGAGGGGAGCTGAGGAGGGGCTGCTGGGAAATGGGGCAGTCACCTGCAGTTTTCCACTAGGTACTGCACAACCCTGTCCAAGACTTTCTCGATGAGCGCTGTGCGTACCCATATGTGTTTCAAGGCCTGCGGGCTGAGGGTTGGGGCCCTCCCGCTGGTTGAGCCCTGTCTCCGCAGAGCCTCCTGGCTTCCCCCTGAGGGTTTCCTGCAAAGTGGAGAAGGGATTCAGGAATGCAAGGGTCCAGGGGTAAATCCCAGATTGATGGAACTAGGAGTGGGGCTTAGTGCCACAGGAAGGGAGCCCAGAGGACTAACTGGGGTAGGGGATTGAAGGAAGGGGATAGGGCTTTGTGTCTTCAAGGACCCAACCCCTACCCTCAGGTCCCTCATCTGAGGGCCTGCAAGAAATGGGACCAGGAAGCCAACCTTCAGATGGGTTGTTCTGGGAAGTAGCAAATGCCAAGTTGAAAGAGTAGAAGGGAGGGGGAGAAGGGGTTCGTCCAGGGCTCACCTGCCCTCTGCTTGTTGTTGCAGCTCCTGTACCTTGTGGCAAATCTCCCCAGCCACCGGGCACGTCTTCCCCACCTTGGTGAACAGGGCTGCCATCTTGTCGCTGCGCAGAAAGCCAGCGGCACGGCGTCTCAGCTGATGCAGGAAGCAAGCCTCCACTGCACCTGGGCCACAAAGGAAAACAGCACCTGAGCCTGGGCAAGAGGGGGAAGCAGGGAAAAACACTCTTTTCCATACCAGTGCAGAGGCAGGGGGCAAGGGCAGGGCCTGTCCATGCCAGAACTAGGGGCAGGCCAAGGAGATATACGCTGACCTCCCTCCGCAATTCTCCTTTTTGTACCTCTGCTCCTGCCCAGGGTGGACCTGCAAGAGCTTTGACATGCCAAACCATCCCTCTCCCTTGCCTGAAACGAACATGCCTCCGGTATGTAGCATCACCCCCAGGGCTATGAGGATCAAAGCTGCCCACTCCAGTTGGCATGAGTGGCTCCACCCATGACCACAAGGGCAAGCAGGGACAGCACCTACAGGATGGGGGATGCAGGGAGCATAGAGCACAGCAGCCCTGCTGGAGAGCATGGTGTTGTGGTTGCTAAGGAACACGACTCAGGAGGAGATGCAATATTGATGAAGCCACTGCAGAGATCAGACCCAACAACGGCCCCTGGATTATTGATGAGCCCAGCAGCTGAGTGAGAAATTTCTCACATCCATGCTGGGAAGAGTTCCCTTCATTCATTCATGTTTTTAAGGGCTAGGCTTATTCTCTGTCTGGATCCTGCTTACGGCAGACAGACCCCACAGGAAGGAAAGAAGGTCTTGGTGTGGAAGGGCAGGGAGTTGCTCTGGGAATGTGCAGACTCTAAACATATTAGAGGGCATGTGTAGGGAGAGGGGGGGTTTGGCCATTACTGAGACCAAGCTGATTGTCTTACAAGTGAGGAGGGAAAGGCCCAGAGGTGATTTGATCACAGTCACATAATGGCAGAGCCAGGACTAGGACCCAAGGCCCAAAATCCTGGCCTAAGCCTCATTCGCCAGCTCCAGCTGTGTTTGGGTTGGGGGCACAGGTGGGAGAAGTGACTCCTCTCACATCACAAGTGCTCTTTTCACACGAACTGGGTGTCAGCCAGGACAGGGTCTGAACTTGGTGTGGCCACTCACTGCCACGGGAAACATGGATAAGTGATTTAATGCTCTGAGCCTCAGTTTTATCATCTGTGAAATGGGGAAGACTTCCTAGGACTGGTGTGAGACATCACATGAGATGAAGTACATGAAACCCCCTGCACAGGGTCTGGTTCTCAGGAGACCCTGGATCCATGTCTGTTCCTGATTCCTCACCCATTTTGTTCTGACACTGTTCTACAGCTAACCTGTAAGAGCTGGGTTTCTGCAGGACCTCTCCCTGGCAAGGAGAGGAAGAGGATGCATTAGAGAGAGGATCACAGGTTTCCCCAGAGGTGGGTGGAAATGCCACTCTCTTAGAAACAAGAAAACTGAGGCACCATCAAGTTTATTTTGACTAGCGCTGTTAGAACATGAAACTTGGATTTAGGAAATAATTACTGAAAATAGTTTCTCACCTGTTTTTTGCCTTCATTTTTAGTAACCAACAGGCAGTCAGTCACTACTGTCTTATAAAGGAGTTTTGTTTTCTTGGACTAAAGTCAAGAATGGAGGTAATCCCTGGAGCCAGCCCAGAGGTCCATCAGTTCAATCCCAGGGGAGGGGACACAGGCAGGACCCCTCCCTTTCCTGAGAGCCTCCTGCTGAAGCTCTTCCCTGCTCAGGCCTTGGAAGACTTTATTTTTTTTATTTTTTTTTTGTCTTTTGTCTTTTTCCGTGTCCGGCAACGGATCGCAACCCTCAGTGTTGCCCCCATACCGGACCAGGGACCGGTAACGGGATTGCAACCCTCGGTGTTGCTCCCGCGCCTCGCTCAGCCAGTGAGCCGGAACCGGTCTGTATGTGGGATCCGAACCCTCGGGCGGGAGCGCCGCTGCGCTTCCCAAGCGGCGCACTATCCAGTGTGCCACCAGGCCGGCCCGGAAGACTTTATTTTACAAGGCACGTACAGCCTTTCCTTCACAGTGTGTTCATATATCTACACATATGTGTATGGAGACAGATGTATCTGCATGTATCATGTGTATGTGGAAAATATTTGGCTTAACTTTCCACATACCCCTCTCCATGGTCAGTCCCCCTGGTCCCTAGAGGTCTCATGGGCCTGGGGTGTACAGGTGAGTGACCCTTTCGTCCTAGTCTCTTGCTCCTGGGGCTGCTGGAGCTACAAGTCCTCACCTTTTGGAAGATGGTGACTATTTCCTGGGGTTGCACTCTCTGTCCAAAGTGGGCAGCACTGAACAGTACCTTAGTGGCAGCAGGTAGCACTAGTCCTATGCGGAATCATGTGCCTCCATGATGTGAATAATTGCTGGGATAATGAGTCATTAACTTTCCCACCTTCCCCAGGCGTCAGGCTGGGAAACTGGAGAGTGGCCGACACCAGCACACTCCCATCCTGTTTGTCCTCACCCCCACTCCCAGCCAGCCTCTGAGCACAGGAATGTTATTCTCTCTCGGTGAGCAGAGGCATTCCTCAGCGATTACTGCAAGTAGTCAATACTGAGAGAAGCGCAAACATCACTCCCAGTCCCCCTGCTCACCACATGGCCCCTAAGTTCCTTCTGTGAAAACCAGGCAAGGTGCCAGGCAATGTCTGGGGAGGAGAAATCTCTCTTATCCCTTGACTTTCCAAGCAAAATAAACAGCCTGTTAGGCCAGGTATTATTGACCCAGTTCCATGGGCTCCTTGGTCAGTGATTTTTCAAACTATATTTGTCATTCCTTATCCCCACAGGGAATCAGCACAAGATGAAAAATGTAAAAATGTTATTGTGTGCAGCATGTAGGCAAAATAATAACACTAATAATTGAGAACCACTATCCTAAGAGGGTTTGTGGATGGGATTCTTGGGCTGCAAAGCCCCCTGAAAGTGCATGCAACTTGCGTACAAATTGTCGATGTGCTCTAGAATGCTTAGGTGAGTGCTTTTTTTTTTTTCTGGATACAGGATCCATGGTTTTCAGTTTATAAAAGAGGGTACCTGACCCCCAAAAGATCAAAAATCCCTGCACTAAGGCTTTTGAGTTGAGCAGAAACCCAGACATTCCCACTGATCAAAACTCACAGAGATATAAACATACACACACAAACATGTACTCTTCAGTATAGGGGGAAACCACACTCAGAACTGGCTGCAGAGCCATCAACAGCAATGTGCAGCCCTCCTTCTGAACTTGCTCCCCAGGGAAGGTCTGTCACAGACAAATTGGGTAGTAGGAGACTGTCAGTCTCCTTCCCCAGGGAGAAGTCCACATAAAGGTCCATGCTTATTTTCTTCTTCTGCCCAGGGCACCAAGCAGGAAAACTCTAGGGCCTTACTCCTTTTTCTGCCCCAGATCTGCCACCATGACCCCACCCCCCAGGGTGGAAGGCCATGGCAGGAGATGCCCATAGGCTAAAGCACTTGTTAACTAAACCCATCCCCCTGTTAACAGAGCTGTCTAGGCCCTGGGACCCCAGCCGGGAAGGCTTTAGAACTTCCTCTGCCAGTGGGTCCCAGCACCACTTATAGACACTCTGGATGTACCACAACAAGGTGACAGACCTGACATCATTCAGCTCATTTCTTATGAGAAAAATGTGTACTAATTAATAAAAACCAGCACTGGTTTGGGTGGAAAGATTTGGGCAAATGAATCAAAATAGGGCTAGATAGAGACATGATTTAACAACCATGATTTCCTCACTCCTCACCCTGGTCTTCTGGTGGCCTTTGGAGTTTGGGCCAGATGAGCCCAGGGTACTTTCTCTACTCTTGTCATTCCATCCCATCCCCCCACTGACAGGAAGGCCAGAGAAGAGCACCTGAGTGGACAGGAGCATAACTAAATTTAACTCCAGCACTTTGATGTAGACACCTCCCCTCCTCTGCCCCAAGGCCTGGTGCTATCTTTGCAGGGAAAGACTGGGAACTACAGGCACAGACTAGCCTTGGGACTTGGCCTCACCAGCCTCTTACGTACTGCTAAAGTCCATCAAGTTATAGAGCTTAACAAATGCTACTTGGGGCTGGAGACCACAAGTGCTAATGAAATCCTACCTCCATCCCCAAACCTTAACACACTTATTTAACTATTCCAAGAGGCCCAATTTAGAGTAGAGAAGGCATTGGGAAGACAGAGATTCGAGGAACTTGAGAAGTTGCTGAATCTGCTCAAACACTGCAGGTGGGAGGGCTGGGTGGTGGCAAATGGAGACAATTTGGCACTATCTATCAACATCACAAATAACTTCTGAGAATCCATCCTCCAGATATAACTGTACCTACAGATATTACTTATAATAGCAAAAGATTGGAAACCATCCACATGTCCATCAACAGGGGACAGGTCAGTACATATGGTATATTCATACAGCAGAATCTTATGTAACTCTTAACAAGAATGAAGATGCTCTCTAGGAACTAATAATGGAAAGCACTCCAAAAGCAATATGCACAACAATATGATTGCATGATACCCTTTGATTACAAAAAGAGTGGGGAGAACAAAGTTTATAATCTTTTTTCTTAGTATAAAAAACTCACAACAAACAAAAGTGCTTACCTGTGTGGGAACTGGTAAGTAGAAGGGAAGTGGGTGAATGGAGCAGGGAAAGAAGTAAGTCTTTCCACTGTGTATCTTTTACATAGTTTTGATTTTTTGTACCAGGTAAATATATTATCAATTCACAATAATAATTATAATTGAGTAGGTGACCATCGAGCATAGATACCACTAGAGTTCCTATTATGAGATGACACCAGAGATTCTCTCCAACCTGGGAGGGAATCAAAATTCACAAAACCCAGGGCTGGCTGGTTGGTCAGGTCAGTTGGTTAGAGCAGTGTTATAACACCAAGGTCAAGGGTTCGGATCCCTGTACTGGCCAGCCGCCAACAAAACAAAACAAAACAAAATTCACAAAACCTAGGAAGGCTGGGTCTGTCCACAGCTACCCTCTCTTTCACCAGTTCCCTCAGCAAATAGGGCCTCTCGAATGGCTTGTTTCCCCACCCATAGGAGGATATCTGGGCTCTGCTCAGGGCAGCAGCAGGTGACCTGACCAGGCAGGGATCAGAGA